GCCGGGAGCAGCCACTACACTCCAATCTGGGCGACAGAGTGAGACTCCAACTCAAAAAAACAAAAAAAACCCCAAAACAAAACTAAAAAAACCCCCACCCATCTGCTGTGGGCTGGATTCTTCGCCTCCGGTTGCACCTGTAGTCCCTCAGATGGTCCGGTGTGGAGGGATGGGGCGACTGCGTCTCCATGGCAGGGCTCTTCTGGGGCTACTGCATTCGCGCTATCTACCTCATCGGGTTGACAGTGATCAACCTCACAGAGGTGCTGAATTCAACCCTCAGACTTAGGGAGTCGCTCTGCTGTTCATGTGGGCAGGCCAGAGCCTGTCTCTGCCCTGGTCATCTGCACAAAGGTGCTGATGGTGTCTCTGTATCTTTTCCTCTGCTGGGACTGGCAACTGATTCTTCCACTGTATTTTCTCCATGGTCCCCGCTGCCAATGTCCGATCTGGCACCGGAGGCTGTGGTGGTAGTTGGCGGTGGGCGCTGTGCAGCGGCTGTTTCTTTTTTGCTGCTTTCTTCTGGATAGGGTCGCAGAAATGGTGCCTGCCTCCGGGCCGTGGATCATGCTGGGATTTGAGTAGCCATGTGGGGCAGCCACCTCAGCAGGAGAGCTCAGGCCGCCTGTTCCCACGTCCTCACTCAGTCAAGACACACTCACTTGCTCACCAACTTGCATGCATAGTTGTCCCTATGCACACTCATTTATGGAGACTCACACACTCAGACTGACTCCGTCACCAACTTGGAATGAGCCTCAACTAAAGTTTTTATCTGGAAGTTTTGAGGTTTTGTCATGGTTTGCAGAAGAAACACACCGAGTTGTGGCAAGCAGTCGACTGATTCTTCCACCAAACAATGCACTGTCCACACGATGATGAGTGTCATCAGTTTTTGACCAAAGATGGTGTGACCCCCCCGCCATTCACCCCATCTTAACCCAAGCAACATTTTTTTTTTTCTCGGATGAAAGAAAGTTCTCAAAGGGAAATGTTTTGCTGATGTGAAAGAGGTGAAACAACAAAGGTCAGAAGCACCAAAAGGCATCAAAATTGACAAGTTCAAAAACTGTTTTGAACAGTGGAAAAAAGCATCTGGATAGATGTATTACATCAGGCGAAGAGTACTTTGAAGGTTACTGAAATTTAAACATGTAAGAATAGATACACACATTTTGATAAATAAACTCGATTTTTGGGGGGTACCCCTTCATATTGTGTTTTTTTGTTTGTTTTTTAATGCATCTCAAATGGAGGCAACTCTCCTCAAACTCCCTTTTTTTGTTTCCCACCCTAGTGACTTTGGTGAGACCATTTGTTATTTATAAGAATATTTGTTTGCTTTTTTTGTTTGCTTGTTTGTTTTGTTTAAGGTCTTACTTTTCATGTTGAATAACCTCTTAAACCTGTTTTTCCCTTGCCTTTCACCTTAGTCTAAGATCTAATGATTATTATGGTTCAGACATTTGGTCTGAGTTATCTACTCTTTGCTTCCTTTTCTCCAAGCCCCATCCTGCTGCATAATCTTACACAGCCCGGGAAGAGTAGTCTCAGGGCTCCTACTGATGCAGCTGTATGAGGGTGAGGGAAGAGGAGTTGAGTAATTATAAAGTAGAAGCTTTATAATTACCAAATTGATTTTCTCAACCTGTGTTGGATTTTATTTGTTTATTGAAAAAATTATGGAAGGGGTAGGGCATTGTTGCTAGAACACTGGTTTTTAAATCATAGTTTGACAAGTCTCAGGATTCCTGGAGGTGTTCCAGGGACAGGACATGTTGAGTGTGTAGGGTTCTGCTTGTATCTGTTATATTTTGTTTCTGTTTAAGCTTTCTCTTGGGAAACAGAAAGTGGTTCTTTTGAAAAGAATTGAAAACTGAAGTAGATTAGAATGTACCTCTGACCGTAATATGTAATATAATATGTAATTCAAGGCTATTCAGTTGAATATGTATAAAAATGTGTATATGTATGCACATATATACACACACACACAAATATACATTCATTCTTTCCCCATCATTATTATGTCTCTAATGCCTAGAGCAGTGCTTTCATTTTGTATTCAGCAATGAATGCTTACCTTGATAGTCAGTAAACATTTGTCAAATGAATGAAAGTATGATGCCTGATGAAGGTTGGGTGCTCAGCTCAGTAATTCAGTTCCTCAAATAGTGGAGTACAGGCATTTCTGTTATAATGCAGTACATGTATCTCTAAAAAACTTAAGTTTTGTAAAATTATGAATTTAAAAATAACAGGTTACAGGGGACTGAAGTGAAAGCGGACTACTCAAAACCTGTGTAACTTTGTAGTTGCAGCGCTGACAATATTAATAAAAATACGAGTACAGGTAAAAATAACTTTAAATTTCTAATCAATAAATACTATTGTAGATATAGGAATTTACATTAAAAAATAAGTATAGATAACTTAATGGAAAGGAGACATTAGATAGGATTGGAGTTACTAAAGAATGATGACAAGGGCATAGTGCATGAAGATGAGAACTAAACGACAAGACAAGCATTTCCAAGACAAAAGCTCTAGCCAAAC